TCCTATAACTTTACTGCTAGCTATACTCATTAACTATTTTCTCTTTATAAATACCTAAATATAATTAGTACCGTGTTCTCAAATTAGTGAGATGTTTACTTTAATATGTAGTCAATTAAGATTCCAGAGATGCCATGAACTGTGAATCTTTGCAACCCAGAGTGAAAATGATTCAGAGAAAGGGATTGGATTTTATGGAAGAAAGACACAATGGAAATAGTTAATGGGAAAGGGAAATGAAGGACAAAGTATTAATGATTGAGGAAATAGCATTCAATGGGGCAAGGACATTTCAACAGCACAATAGTAATTAACAATCCTTGGGAACTATTAGTGATATCTAGAATACACTACCATTTTTAGGAAAGAGGAAATCCAATTCTCTGAAATAGTTCTTTCAATGCCCTGGAGAGAGAAAAATACACAAAAGTGACTGAATTAGTGACTGGGTTTTTGATAAGTGTGATGTGATACTTGTTAGTTCCACTAGGTAGACTAGACCAGGAAATTAATTACTAAGGAAGGCTAAAGCTATTTTATTGAAAATCCTGCATATCTGATGGAGCTATACCTCCTCTTCTCCATTCTGTAAATGAGACCTGAACTCAGGTAGCTCAATGGTGTTTCTGTATAGGACAAGCAAAGGCTTTCAGGGATAAGCAATGTTCAATCAACTTTCTCACATCCATAATTATTTCAATAATCAGTGATGAGCAAAGCGTTTGACTTCACACTTCCCACAAGTATAAAATCATACTGTAATTCCCAAACGCTGTTCTTTGTCTGACTTCCAACCAGAATTCTGCCAGACACATACTCTGGCATGCATAATAAACTTGATCCTCTGTAGTTTGTGCATTCTTGCTATCTTTTCTATTCTATAGGACATAGAAGCATTCTTCCAATCACCCAGCACAGATACTGTCTTCATATATGTATTGACCAAGCTGCCTGGCCATTCCATAGCTGGCTGTGGAATGGCCATGCAACTTCTCCATATTTTAATATTTCTCCAGTTACTCCGTCTACACTTTCAGCCTTAGCATGTTTCGACATTGTCACAGCATTTATCTGCCTAAAATCTGAAGAGCCAGGCACAATGGAAATAAATTTATTATTTTATTTTCATTATTTGTTTGAGGGAAGGAGGCTAACCTTTGTAGCATTCATTTCAATTTTATTCCTTATCATGTCACTATCATTCAATTATAAAATGTTCCCTCTGAAGTTTCCTCATTTTCATTTTTCTAAAGATGCATTATTAAAAAAAATTGGTCTATCTCACATTTAGTACCCACTCATTACTGCTATATCATTCACTAATTCTTGTATTCGTCTATCATAAACAATCAAACATGCTTTTTATTCTTTATTTTCTGTGTATAGGCAGTCAAAACAAAGAGACCATTTTTGAGCTGATATCCACCAATCACCATTCTCCTTCCCTCTTGTAATATCTCTCTCTCTCCCTCTCTGTCTCCCTCCCCCCCTTCTCCCTCTCTCTCATCCCATTCCTACCCAGTGCTTCATGTCCTCTAATGGAACAGTTTTCCCCTTGGATCTCATTAATTCAAAATGTTGCATCATTTTCCCCAAACCTTATTAACATTCACTGGAGTGTAACACACAGCAATCATCAAACTATAGATTCTTACTTTCATATACACTTGCAACAACCTAGATGATAGTGGCTCACACTTTCTGACATACGTTTTAGTCTTTTTATTTATTTCCTCACATGCATTCATTACCTCCATTCCATAAGATCAGAGTCTTACATTCCTCAATTATTAGGATGCAGTTCTTAGGTAGAGATTTTCTTATCAAGGTGGACATTTTTGACTGAATTATCCTACCTCTCAGCTTTAATGTAGCAGTAGTTATTTATGTAGTGTGAGCTAAAAATATTCTTAAGAAGAGGTGAGGGGATTGTTTTTTTAAAAAAAATCCATCTACTTTTCAGTTAGCTTAGTTTGCCTCTTAAATACTAAATTCAAGATTTCTCTGGAAGGAAACATTTAAGAAAAGCTTCTTTCGTAAAGCACAGATAATATTTTAAATGTAACGACAGCCTTTTCAGAAGAGAGGATGATAAATGCATATGGAAAAGCATACTTTAAAAAAAAAAAGAGCTTGTATTTCAGCAGCAACTCATTTTCACCTAATCATCATCCCCATTTTTAAACTAAAAGGAAGAGAAGCTAAACTAAATTTCTGTAGTCAGGCTCTGAAAGCAATGAAATGAAGCATTTAGAAAACGAAAGCTGCTTATCCCTTAATTACTTCCCTCCCTGTTTCCTAGTTTGGCATTTCAAATGCATGGGTACCAGAAGGATGTTGCTGAGTTGAAAGATATTCCTAGAATCTGAGACAAATTGAAGAGATTGTGCAATTTTTCAGAAGATTCAAAAATAAGAACTTCGTAGTTACTTTGGCAGACCTGGATGCTACCTGCTACTAATAGTTTCTGTAGCTTCTAATAGAAAAACTCCAATAGAGAAACTCCAAAGCAGGCTCTGTCTGCCTTTATTCATCATAGCATTGTTGAGAAACAGGACAACAGAGAGAGAGAAAAAATCAATTATTTGTGCCTCACTTTAATTACAAAAATTATAAGGTACCTAAGCATGCATTAGGTACGGTATAAGCTTTCAGGGGAGGAAAGAGAACAAGTAAAGGCAACCCAAAAAAAAGACATTCTAGAATAGTGATTCCCAATCAAAGCCACTTCCAGATGTGTGTACTTCAACCTCCACAGTTCTCAGCAACAGCATGCTAGCTGGGGACCCTGGGAATTAATTTCCACACGTTTGGAAGTTGCAAAGCTTGGGAAATAGTATTCTATGACATCTTGAGAATCTGTGAAACAAATTGCAGAGCTCTGGTTGCATTTCCCCTAGCAAAAAGCTTATCCCACAAATAAGGGTCAGTGCTAGAAGGCAAACATTCAATAAAACCCCAACTTTTAAAAGGGACCTAAGGGAATCTGAGGGACATGGTGGCTCAGTGGCTAAGATGCTGAGCTTGTCAATCGAAAGGTCGGCAATTCAGTGGTTCAAATCCCTAGTGCCGCATAATGGGGTGAGCTTCCGTTTCTTGTCCCAGTTTCTGCCAACCTAGCAGTTCAAAAGCACATAAAAATGCAAGTAGAAAAATAGGGAACATCTTTGGTGGGAAGGTAACAGCATTCCATGCCCCTTTGGCGTTTAGTCATGCCGGCCACATGACCACGGAGACGTCTTTGGACAGCGCTGCTTCTTTGGCTTTGAAATGGAGATGAGCACCGCGCCCTAGAGTCAGGAACGACTAGCACATATGTGCGAGGGGAACCTTTACCTTTACCTTTAAGGGAATCTGAGAAATTATAATGCGTTCAGTTTAATGTATATTATGGAGAAATGGATAGAAACAATAATGAAATATGCATATAGAAATACAACCTTGCTGAAGGAAAATCTGCATGAATTCCATGAAAATAAGATTTGCCTTGCCGGTCTTCTGGGGAGGAAAATTAGGAGATTAATTAGGAATAGAGATTTTTCTCAATGAAAAAAAGTAAGAACTCCCTAAAGGATCTTAATTTAGGGCTAGTGCTTTTTCACTTCTTAATTTGTGCTTTTTCAGTTTATTAATAAATTATCTGGATCTAGTGCTAAGTAGAAAGCATGCTGAATTTGCAGATGATACCAGATCATTCACATGGTAAAAATGATTGGGAAGAATTCTGAACAGAACAGAACAGAACAGCTTTATTTGTGATTACACACATAAGAAATTTTTCTCCATTGCATAAACTCTCAGTGTAACTACAAACAGCAAAGTAACATAATCATAATAATGATACCAATGAGAGAAGGTAGTACAAAAGATGAGAAGGATAATGGTGAATGGTCAACTGAATGTACCAATCCAATGTGCCACAGCTTTGAAAAATACAAATACTGGGGATCAATATGAAAAGGATTGAAAATAAAACTGCAAACATTGCAATGCCTTTACTAAAATTTTTGGAATCTGGAAAATTATTGCATGGATCATCCCATGTGGGAAGAAATAGTACAACTCCAAAAGTATAGAAAAGGATAACCTAAGTGATCAGAGATTTTGAATGTTTGCTTTATGAGAAAGGTTTAGAACATTTTGGAACTAGATGAGCAAAAAGGCAACTAACATGATCAAGACTTGTATAATCATCACAGCATGGAGAAAGTAGATAGAGATGTACCTAGGGTAGGAAATGGTAGTGGAAATGGTGGTGAGAATAATGGAAATGTTGCAGTAATATCTGACAATGATTTTGTTACCTACAGATGATCTTCTTCTGCTTTTTCTCTTTTGAAAAAAAAACTTGAAACCACCATTTAAGGATACCCATAATGTTGGTATTGCCATCATAGTTTCATTGTTGGAGCAGTAGTGTCAATAACGGCATCAAAACAGGAAAGATAATATACTCCACCAATGCTAGGATTGCCATCTTGCTTGTTTTGACACTCTCTGCAGATGCCACTGAGTCAGAACTTCTATCATGGATTGATCTTAAGTCCTATAGCTGCTGAACACTGATTCAAAAGACATTTTAGCCATATATTTAATACTCATATCCAATTTGGATTTAATAATCCTAAATGTAATAAACCTACTGCATTCACTTAAAACATCATTACAAAAACAGTAACAGTAAAATTTTAGAGAGTTACTAGTTGAATATGGGTTGAATGTCATCATAAATTGAATATTTTCTTTCAAATCTCCGCTCCCCCAGAACATAACTTTCTCTATTTAAGCATGTTCATGTCGTGGTGGAGAGTTTACTTATAGAAACACTCAATGTAAAAATAACTAATATAAAATCATTAACAATTCTTTTCAAGAAGATACAGTTGGATGCTAAATCAGAGCATTTACAATATCTGTAACTCAGATATACGGTCATTATTGTTCTGGATGTATGTAATTGCATTACTCAGAATTACATTTTTTTCCTCTTTTTTCTACAGCTTTAAGAAGTCAGAACACAATTGAGAAGAAGTGTCTATGTATCTTTTCTGTTTCTGGACACCTTTTTAACACATCACTGGTCCTTGACATAAATGCTGAAGACTTTTAAGCACTGAAGACCGGCTGACATAAATTTTGCCTTGAATATTCGTGATCAAAACTAGATGTATCAGATCCTTTGGATGAGCAAAAGGATAAAAAGGTTAGTGATACTCTGAAAGCCTACAGTGTCAATATTTTGTATTTCTGCATATAACTTGCCTATGCTTTCATTTACTGTATGTTATAATATTTTCTGAGCTACAGAAAGGACAACCTTTATTCTGAAGTATTTGTGGAGGTGTATTTCCTGCTGTAAATGCATCAGTAATTTATTTTTATTTGATCTGCTTCTTTCAAAGCCTAAGACTGAGCATATTTTATAGGGGATTCTGGTTCACACTTAGAAAAAAAAATAGCTAATGCTCATACTGAATGTGAGCATTTGATGATAGATTAGGAATTGCAGAATTTTGGGTTCGAAATTAATTATCAAAGGGAAAAAAATGGATGCAGTATCAACAGTTAATGATTGGATCTCCCAGTGCTTTTTTGAGTATGAATGTGGAAAAATATATTGGGATCTGGCATTAACTATAAAGGGTTTAACCTTTTCCAAATTCCATCTTACTTCCCTGATAAATATTTCATCGTATAAAATTGATCTTAAACATAGGAAGGAAAGATTGATTACATGGTAGATTACCATGACTATTGCTACTTCTATAGAAAAAGAAACTGCATTTCAGAAACATACTTTTACTTCTCACCCATCCATCTTTTGCTACTTTCTTGACATAATACTCAAGTTCAAGAGATTCAATCCAACCTTTGAGTTTTTACATCATAAATATTTTTACCTTAATACGTTTATTTAGATATTTAATATGTATTTATATTACATATATGTGAATTCTATCAAAATGTCTTTTCCCTTCCCTTCCCTTCCCGTGCCCCCCCTTCCCTTCCCCTTCCCCCCCCTCCCCTCTCCTCTCTTGTCTTCTCCTCTCCTCTCCTTTCCTCTCCTTTCTGTGCTGCTGTTTTCTGGCACTCTGAGCAGCATACAACAATCAGAAAAGAGATTTAAAATACCATAAAATTTCAGCCATATAAACAAGCAGGGAAAAAAGCAGTAATAAGATCATTCACCAGGATGGATTAGAATCTGATTTAATGAGAAGAATCTTGGGCTCAGAAAGAGGAAAAGCCATTGAAGAAGCCTACTGTCTTTGCAGTACATTTATGTTATGGAAGTCAGGTTTTTCCTGGTTCTTCTCTCTCTCTCTCTCTTTCAATATTCTGTTTCCAGTCATTCTTTTCTTGTAGGTTTTTACATCTTCCTTTATGCTGCCTCTATTTTTCCGTTGAAAGTGAGTATTTCAAGCACAAACAAGATGTTATCATGTTGCTAAGTGTCTCCACTGCATACAAAATTGTTTATGTTCAAGATTCAAGTTATCTACAAAAACTTATTTATCTGGTTTTTAAAAATTGCATTTGCGCTTCCTTTTTTTTCTTGCATTGAAGCCTGTATTGTATAGTGATAATGCTGAATGGATACCTACCTACCTACCTCTATCTATCATCTATCAATCTGTCTGTCTGTCTGTCTGTCTGTCTGTCTGTCTATCTATCTATCTATCTATCTATCTATCATCTATCTATCATCTATCAAATTTGATTAACTTCTATGTATACCAACCTGACTAACAGAAGGAAGGTAAGAATTAAAACAGTGTTAAGTCTGTATATCAGTATATTGCAAATCGTTTTACAAATTATCCTTTTGTCCATAAGAGTTAAACCTTGTGTTGTTTACACTTCTTTTTAACTTTTAAAAATTCATATTTTGGGGTTTTAATAGCAATTAAATGGAAACTCAAAGTAAATGTGACTATACGTTTTTTGTTGGATCTGCTCCTGTTTAAAATATTGTATAATTTTTACAATAGAATTATAGGGAATTGGGATTATCAGGATCAACAGAGATAAAGTAGCAAATAGAGGGAAAGGCATTAAATGAAAATATGGAGGTTTCATAATGAAATATAATCTTCTAAACTGGGTGCACAGGAAAGCAGTGGTGTAGTAGCAGAGCCATCTTCAGTTTATACATATTCATTTATTGGTCCTTGTACAAACATCTTTGTTTACATCTTGAAGTATTTTTTTCATGTTACAAGACATGCAAATTGTGCAGGAGTTATTTATGCATTTTGCATACTGCTTTGTTTTATTTAAGTTGTGGGGGGGGAAATCACAAAAAGAAAAAAAAGTACTGAAAACTGATGATACATTAACACATTTAGGTAACCAAGAACAGTGAACATATGTTGATGATATACTGTAGTTAATAAAAAGCAGCCTTGGCCTTGAAGAACAGAGGGAAGATCTGCTATCAAAGCTACAATCAGATAAATGAAGTATCAGACCTGGAAGCCATCTTTTGAATTGGGCCTTCAGGCCTGTCACATTTACTGTTGTGGGAAACTGGGAGGGGGGATTGTATGGAGCATGAGTGATATATAGTCATAATAACATTCCTTTCTCAGAGAGTCAAGGCTGTCTTGCCCTGCACCTGGGAGGCTGGATTTGGGAGGTATCTCCAGTTGGGATGGTGCTTTGATTGGACCATGTGATGGACTTGTGGGTGTTGGGCAGGGACTTGAACTTTTCTTTGGATGGGGAAAACCTGGAAACTTTCAGATTCAGGTTTTCCCAGATATGCCAATCTCTAATAAAATGTAACTTTGAGGAAACTCAAGCCTTGGAATTTTCTTTCATTGGGAGTGTTTCTTGGAACCCTGACATGAAGTGTAGATCTTCATGGTACCTGTTTCTTACTCTAGTCTACTATGTAGCGCTGCCAGATGATCTCTAATTTATTTCAGAGTTTAATTCTTTCATCCTGATCACTTGGCTTTTGAAACATCTTCAGTCTACTCTTTTTATAGTCAGGATCATCTGCTTCTGCACTAGAGGAACTGTGCTCCTTTTCTCTAAAGTTACTTTGACCGTTTCTCGAAAGAAGAGTATGAGAAACAAAAAACAAGCTTAGAGCAGTGTTTTCTGATTATTTCTGCACTTTTGTGTGTGTGTGTGAAATACCGTGGCTTCCCATGCACACATCTGCAAAGACAGCTGGGAGCAGCTCGCAAAAGCAGCTGGAAAAAGATGTGGCTGTTTTATTGATTGGAAGATAAGTGCTTCATATGCACTCTGGAGCTTTGCATAGACATTTTTTAGAAGGATTTGCACAATTTTGAGAACAGTAGATAATGCCTCTTCTGTTAAATGTTGTTCAAAGCATTTGCCAACAGATGAACTGGATGTAAGAAAAATTCAGCTCTCTTAACATTTGTTTAAAACAAAATTCTTTTAAAAGTAGAGGTGAAGAAAGCACATCCTCAATTCAGTTTTTAATTTGGTTGTGTGAACATCTCATGTATATTGGAAAGGCTCGACCCTGAACTGTCAATTGGATTGGGAGTTGAGAATAAGTTCTATTATTGAATTTGCACCCATAGGATTACTAAGCACACATTTATTATCAGTCATTGAACTACCTCTGCTGAAAAAACACTGTGTAATGAATGGTCTGCGAAATCTGATAGTGCAGTCAAATATAGGCCGTTTAACCTATTGGTTATACAGTTTAACATACTTCTACATACATCTCTTCTACTATATAAAATCACTACATTTCCTTGATCCAGTTGTGTCATCGTCCAGATGTGGGCTGCTTCAGTCGGATCTGTTGCTGGCTGAGCCATAGTTTTTTTGACCACGCCCCTTGCTCCTCCCTTTGGGGCCCAGTTTAAGCTCAGTCGGCCTGAGAATAACATCTCCTACAGATCTGGCTCTCAGCCCTGGTCTGTTCAATTGCATTTAAATTTTAAGGTTTTTTTGACCTTTTATTTTCTTATTTCTTTCATTTATTTTCCTATTTAATTTTTTCTTGTAATTTTCCAGAGGTTCCAGTCTACTAGGCTAGTTAAGAAATATTTTTAGTTTTATTTTGTATATAATAGCCTACCGGTATACCTCTTATTGGAGCAGCTTGTTCTATCAGGCTTTTCAATAGCTCCAGGAGGCAGCCATTTTGGAAGCCTCTTCGCGCGTCTTTTTATTTTTTTTTCCCCTTTGGTGGGTTTTTTTTTTAAATCTATACCACCAACGACAGCGCAGGGGGTTTAAACCTTTGTACCACCACAGTTTGTAGTGATTTTCTGGGACAAACCCCAGAATCGCTAAAATCGGCCGCCGCCCCCGCCCTCAGCTCCCGAGACCGCAGAACAGCTGTAGGGCGGTCCTTTGAAGCGCCGCGGCACTTTGGAAAGGTGATAATTGCCGCTTTGCCACCAACAAGCCAATAGGAGGCTTTTTAACCCTTTTTTAGCCAGCGATCCTCCTATACCATCAACGGAGCTTATACAGGAGAGCTGTAAGGTTTCCTTACACTCTCCACGTGGCAATATTACAGCCGAGGTTTTTTTGTGGCTGTAAAGGCCACAAAAGGGGCTGTTTCTAGGTTTCCTGGACAGTCACCTCTAGAGCAAGTTTCTTCTGCTCACGTGTTACTTGGCAGCCAGTGAGCTAATGCCAGATCCTCTGCTTTTGTTTACCTTACCACGTGGTGAAAGTGAAACTAAATCTTTCAGTCGACATCTTGGTCGCAGTGAGTATACTATTGCAATGGCAGAGCGTTCTTCCCACGGGGAGGGAAATACCATGCCTCAGGGAAAAAAAGCAGATTGCAAGCGCAAGCACTCTTCTAAAACAGAGGAAAAAGACTTGCAATGGAGGCATAAGGCTTTAGAGAAGCAAATTTCAAAAGCTATTGTTCATGTGCCCAGTAAGGAAACCTCTCCTCCCCCCGCTACTCCCCCCTTCCTATTGTTGAAGTTCACCAAGCTTGGTCTTCAGAAGGTGAGGGAGGGGTTCTTATTCAAGAAGAACAGGGCACTCTGCAAAATCCATTTGCAAGTCAAATAATTTCTCTGGCTTCTCCTGCTCCTAGCAGAAATGTGACACCAGCTCAGGCTGCAAGGGAGTTTCCCTTGCAAGATCAGATCCCAGAGGACCCTTTTAAAAATCTGCCAGAAAACTTACAGGTTTTAATTGAAAGGGCCATTGCTTCTCGAGTGGAGGATGCCTATAAAA